ACCGAAAACATCTGGAACGTTGCGTGAAGTGAGCAGGCAAAATATGATCTCTATTGTTAAAAGCAGAACCGTGCGATGGATTTTCTCCATAATTCAATCAAACTTTGATGCTTCGAAGCAGACCTTGTCAGAGCTTTTAAACTTGAGCCCTGGTATCAATCCACGAGAAGTTGTGAGTGTTTACTAGGGTTTAAAAGGACTTCCGAGTCGAGTTGACTCTTGATAACAACTAACCCAAGTTTTATATCATGATTTCGGTTTATTCATTTTGTGATTTTCAGACACCATCCTTTGTTGAATAATCTTTTGTTGCTTAAGAATCTAATAGAAGCGATTACTTAAAAAATCAGTCATGAAGTGAAAACTTCTTCTTGTAGTGACGCAATTGCTTCGTCAGTTTCTTAACTTTTTACAATCGTAGGAGCGTCTTAGAAATTTGCCCAAGTTTTCAAGTCTTTGCTTCAAACCAATTAGCCACAACTAGTTTAATTTAATAATCCCGAGAAATGGCGCACTAAATTCCACTGAAGTGAAAGAACTCTTTTTCTGTAAACGAAGACCGTAAAGTTATCTTTTAAATTCAGTATGGGAGTCCAAAAAGTTCGTTAAACTACTTACATTCCATTCTCAGCCGTTTATGAAGAGATTGTCCTCGACATACAAGTTGATGTTACCACGCCACAGAAGAATTACAATAATTCCACCATATCGTAACGAAGTTTTCAGAGACCGCAGTAGATGCGAGGTTGAAAGCGAACTCTTTATAAGCCTCCAATTCTACTCAGCTGTTTCAGCGAGCCCAAACCTGACCTATTCAACGGAAAACTCAAGAGCAATGTACGTCAACTGCCCACATTACTCCACGAATGGAATTTCAGTTTGCATTCACTTAACCGAGACTAGATTTTAAAATTTGCATACATTAACCTTTATCCAAGCATTAACTGCAGGCGTAATAGAGTGTCAAATTTGCATTCCGAGAGGCATAGCAAGGTCTTTCCTTTTTTGGGGTGGGTAAACTAGTCTGCAAATTTTTGGACGAAACCAAGACAGACGACTGCCTATTCTCTCTCTGCTTTTGTGACGAAGTATAAGTGGTCTTTATTCATCTCTGCTAGCATGCAGCAGCGTGTTTATCTTTCATTCGCCATTAAAACAAACCAAGAAACAAACAAACATCGTCTGGTATCGCGATTTTCGCACAACGCGCGAAAGACGTCACGCGCCTAAGAGGTCGTCATTTCGCGGAGTCATTTTCGACAAAATTAACCCTCTAAAAAGTGCATGTTATGCGCTGTGAATAGCCTGCATGGTAAGCACTGGTAAGTAGTTCTTTGGCTAGTTCTTAAGTTTGCAGAGCGCGCGAGCGCACCCCTACTCGAAATTTCTCCCTCGCGAGCTTGAAGGAGTAGGGACTGGGACTGGGATAAGAAACGAAACCAGTGAATAAGTTGTGAATATTAAAAGAACATGGCGGTTCCTGCGGTTCGTAAACTTTCTGTTTTGTTGATTTCCGTAAAAACGTAAAAAATAAGCATGCGTTGTGAGAAATAGTATGTGATGTCGAGGAGTAGATATGGAACGTTTTTGGAGAGTGTGGATACTGAGAAGACGGAACTGAGATCTCTGATAGCCCAGAGATCTCATTTTGAGGAGGTACGTAAAGCTTAGATAATATAGGTTTTTAGTGTTAATTCTGTTTTAAACCTTGGATTAGGATAAAATTATAGAGCATTTTCACAGTTTACCGAAAAGATCCAGAAGCAGTACGAAGGCGCACTTGGTAAATAAATTTTTAAGTTTTGTTAAAGTTTGACAGATCACGCGTTTAATTTATTTGCAGGGTCATGTTTCATACTTTATGTTGTATATGCACACGCCTGGTTTGCTTGAGCGAAGTTTCCTGGCTATTTGTTCACTGGGTGATCTTTTACATCAGACCAATGAATTGTCTGCATTGTACATAAATATTATCGTAGAACCTTTGAGGTTCTAAGCACAAGATACAATTTTCCATGGACCAGTGACTTTTGCTTTTACCGTTTTAAAGATAGCTTCTTTTCAATTGATCCCATTGTTCCATAGCATCACATGGTAAATACATATCCAGCAGTAACGTTTTAATACCCGTGTGAATAAGGTAGGAAAAAAAGTGGTTGGAGAGAATTGTTTAACGAAATTAATACCTAAACATTTAGTACCCTTACTTTTATCATTTTCGTCTTAATATAGAGCGCATTATACTTAAAAATATTTCAAATTATGTATACTATTATTTTATTATTGTAATTAAATCACCTACTACTTCCTAGGATAAAACTTTGTGAATACAGCCCCCCTGAAGGAAGGGGCAAGTGTAACTTTGTGGTTGACATATCGGTCGCTATATCTGTTGAGTGTCGATCAAGTATCGGTCGAGAGTCAGTCAGTATATTGGCCGAGTGGAGTTTTGCTTTGGGTCGAGTATCAGTTGACAGATCGACCATCAGTCAGTCGCAATAGCAATGGTAGTGCATCGGCAATGTATTGGTAAGCCATTGGTTGAGTTCCAGCGAGGTATTGAATGTTGGTGTATCAGTTGACAGTCAGCATCGCCTATACAACCTCACCCCCAAGGCTTTTCCCTTTGTTACAAGGTACCTGTGAGATGACGCGCAGAGGACACTATTTGCTCATCACACCTATCGGCTGTGGCTGACACCAGATTGATCAGTTACCAAATTGTGGGCTATTTTCATGTATTGGCCAACATCTCGGTCATCTGTTGGTCGACATATTGGTTACTTTGAACTACAGTCGACCAAGGTATTGGTTGTTATGTCAGTTAAGTGTCCATGATCTGTTGGTGATTTGTCGGTGGAGTACAACTGACTGTTGAGTGACTGCTGACCTATGGACTAGAGTGGCCATCTGCTGGTTGAGACTTGTTTAAGACTTGACTGAGAGTCATCCGATACTCGACTGATGCTTGACCATTATAGTGACTGAAATGTCCGCTGATACATTGGTTGCAAACCCACAAGACACATGATCTGACAGCTCCACTTGCAGCCATCTTCACAAAACCCTCCCATACAAACTCTGTATTTTAATTTACATTCTCAGAAGTGGCAACCTTTTCCGTGTCCAGAGGGTGTCTCTGACAGGAGGAAAGCTTCCACTGTATGTGCAGTGGGACTCTAGTGACTGGTCACTTAAAAGATAAAGAGGGTGGCTGATTAATAGGAGGCTGCTTAATACAGGAGCAACTGTAAAACAAGACAGCTAAACAATTAGCAGAAGTGCTAAATACTGTGACTCTTAATAAACCTTATCATCCTTAAAACAGTGGTCTCAGACGACCTGCGTTTCTTTTGAATGTGACTGGCCAGAGATAATGGCTTTGGTTTTCTAAAAGTTTCACATGAATCACTTTCATCCTAGTGTTTACTTGGGGCACTAAGTTTCTCACAGACATGTGTGCTTTGTATAATCCTCACATCTCTCAACAGATGGAGCACAGTGTTAACCAATCCTATTATCCATGGGTGAACTGTCAAGAATCGGTAGTACAAAACAGACTTCCACTACTCTGGCATGAATTTCTCCGCTGGATATCCAACAGTGGTGTGGCTTCTATTTTGATCTGTCTACACTTCAGCATCATTGGATTGTTTGCATTGTCTCTCTTGTCTTATGAACGTCCATCTCTGTGGCATAATATTGCTCACTATTTATTTTCCTGTGGCACATTTGGATTTACAGGAGGCTGTGTTAATTATTTAGCAGTGACTTTGTTTTATAAAAAGATTCCTGGTCTTTATGGAACTGGGTAAGATGGATGAAAAGTTTGTTTTAAAAGCTAGGACATTTTTTCAGTGTTTCTGGAACCATTAAAACCTTTTGTTTTCTTTTAGTCTTCCAATCTGTATTTGAATGCAAAGCCCTGTTTTTATGGGATGTGGTTTGTCAAAATATGTGGAATAATTATAGCACACAAATTTTTTCAAAGCCTAGATTTTCTTAAGCAGACACCAGATATTTAAAAACCAAGTTAAGCTCCTTGGACAAACAATGATAATAATGAATTTATAGCCTTCATTTTAAGACCATTCTTTCCTTTTTTCCATAGAACTTTATAACCCATGTAATTAAAGTGATTTTGTCATAAAATAAATGAACTCATAAAAAAGTTATCTGATCCTGTAGATTAAACTAATGTACATAATGCAGAATTATTATAATAATTTTTCAGCAACCCACTCCTTACTGGCAGTCTAGCCTGAGAATACTAAGAATAACTGAATCACTGAATTCAACTTTCAAGACCAGACAAAGCTTTTCATTTGCCCCTTTATCTTTTTGCACTAGAGATTTGCCTCGTTATTCGTTATAACATATTATTTTTCTCTACTACCTTACAATATTTATTGCTTTTTTTGTAGAATCATCGTCAATCGTTATCAGGACATCTGTGAAAGTGTGAGGACTTCAGTCATTGATATCTTCTTTGACGAGGAATTTTTAAAATTGTACAGCAAACAGAAGTTAAATCATCAGATAGTTAGGTTGAACATTGAAGGACATTTGCAGAGAATTTTACAGTCTGAAACAGTAGATCAACTTATAACCACTGAATTGCACTCATTAGCATCATTGCCTGAAGGGCAGCTGCTGTCTTCTGTTGGTATTAAACTCTCATCACTTAGGTCACTGGTGAAGCCTTATGTAGTAGATCTTTTGACTGATGTAGTGCCTGTACTTATGGAGAGATTTACATCCTATAGTCAGGTAGGAAAGTATAAAGTATGAACTTGCATTATTAAACCTGTTCAAACATTGGATGTTGCTATTGACCGGAAAAATCACTACTAGATGTTAAGGAAGCCATAATTTGTTTGTAATATCTGCTGGATTGCACCTCATGGGACCTCTGCATCCGATTCATACCTATCCCCTTTGGGTTGGTCTGCCCCAAATAAAGCTGGTCGAAGCCCAATTTAGCAAAGGTCCTGGTAAAATGTATTCACTTAAACAGGCAATGTTATGTCTGAGTCTTATCCCAGACATGTTATTGTCATTGGGGTCAAGGAGTCATGCATCATACCTCCTTATGTTGCGAGGGTTGTTCTGTATGAGCATCCTTAAGCTAACTTTAGGTTGGCTAAGAGCAAATCATAGCGTTCCTTTTAAGTTTTTGAAATCATTTAACAATCAGTGGGTAAGAATAATGTCATGGCCATGGATAGTAAAAAAATCCCTCAATCATTATTCTCCAAGGCATTGAGACAGCTGGGGTGGGGAAGGAATAGTGAGAGATTGAACTTTGTGGATACTTAAAACAGACGTGAAAGTCTGTGTAACCTCTTGGTGGTCAATTACCAAAGATACTACATCTTAACTAGCCTTAGCCACAGCTGAAGCTAAACTCTGGTTAATTGCCGAAGTCCTTGGTCTGGGCCCCACCTGTGTACCAGGATTTGAGTGTACTACTCACCATGATTGGCCCCTTAAAAAATCCATTGTTGATTTGCCAATCAGGATGAAAAGAAATTTGAAAGGCACTTGAATCCATTGGAGGTCCAGAACTAGGATCTCAGTGCTGCTTCGCAGACGTTACTTACCAAAGTTAAATTACGTCTGTGATGCAGGCTACACCTTAACCTGCTTAAACCTTTCTTTTTCTTTTTTTTTGTGGAAACAGCTTTGATAAGTGATTTGTTGAACATAGTATGTTTTCTTAACAGGACCAAGGCATTAAAAACCTGAAACAAGAACTTAAAAGCTACACAACAAGGAGAAAAGAAGAAGTGCCTTCAAGTAGAGTGGAATTGTTAATGAAAGATCTTCTGTTCAGTCATTTACAGCTCTTAGTAATACTTGGTTGTGTTGTTGGAATCTTCCTTGGTGTATTATCACGAATCACTGGAGTAGGTCAAATTATTTAATACGAATTTCAAGTTGAAAACAGAAGACTTTTTTTTTTCAGGATTCTATAAAATAATATTTTTAATACAAGTGAGAGAAATCAATATTGTTCGGAAGTATCAATGCTGGTACCAGTCTACTTTATTATTAAAAATAATGCACCTATCAATGTAAACCCTGTGGGGGGGGAGTGCGGGCAAGGGGTGGGGATTTGACAAATTTTAAAATTTTTTGATTAAATTCCCCAGGGTGGGAAACGAAAGGTCAATCAAAAGTGTCCAAAAAGCCCCCACCCCAGGGGAAAAAATCTAAACAAACAATGCTATAATACTATATAAAACAAATAAAAGAACATTTCAAACACGTTGTTACTACTTTTATTTACGGTTAACGGAAGCTCCATTAAATTACTCGCTGTAATTAAGTATTTTCTCTCTCCACTAGCATATCTTATCTTGAACAACAAAATCACTCCAGGAAGATTGACCGTGCTATATAATATTAATAAAACGTAAAATGCTTTATAACATCTGCTCAACATGTCGGAACAGGTCGGATCAGTGACCCATAAAAAATCCTCTGACTTTCATGGTGGAATTCGATTTCAATCGAGTTTTACAATCAGATGGGAACTTGAAGATAAAAACTTCCTCAAAATAGACATTATCTGTTTAGATGACAGTTTAAAGTATCGGATTATGGCGATTAAAACAAATGAAAACTTCATACCTTTCTCCAACAACGTGACTTTCAGGAAGCCTCGAGGGACGGACTTGGTAACTGCTTCTGAATTGATACCAGGCTTCTGTCGGTCAAAGTCAAATGTCCCGACCCCGGGGTCGCTTCACACGATCAAAAGCCCGACAGCGGGGATAGTCCCAGGCATCAAATCCCCTCCCCTTGCCCGTACTCCCCCCCCACGGGATTTACATTGATAGGTGCATAATAGTACATAGTATCAAATTTCAATTAAAAATTTAAAATTAATACTTTTGTTTAACTAAAAGTACTTTTAAAGTTTTTTTTTAGAAAATGGGAGTTTAGTTTGATGAGAGTTGTCAGAAACATTTCAACGGTTTCGTCAACTGCTACTGGTGGCCTTGGAAATAAATATGTTTGGAAAATTGATTTAAAAATCACAGTGCAAATTTTAAAACACAAGAAAATGTGGAATAAAATTGGGAGGAAGCTGAAGACAGGCTGAAGTATGATTTTTTTTACCACTTTTAGCTTATTTCAACACAATCTGTTGCCCATTATATTCTACTCGTATGAAAGCCTACCTGTGAAATTTAAAATTACCCGTACGATTTTGAACATTTTATATTTTGGTCAGTGTTTCCATTTTTATGATCTCCCAGGTTCTGAATCAGAGAAAAAAATATGCCAATAACTTTATAAACACTTATTAGCAAGGCTTGTTACTAGAGATGCTGTTCTACTATCACTTAAATACAGTCATCTCTCTATAAGATAGAGGAAGGTGGACAGTTTTGGGACTGGAATTAAGTGTCTGTCTAAGTGAAGTGTCCCACCTTAGAGAGTTAATCTCTCTAGGTGTCCATTAGGAGAGAGTCAGTATTATTAGAAATGTATTTAAAGCATTGTAATTGAAGGGTTTCCTGGGAAAAGGGCGTAATTTGTTTGTTATTGATATTAAACGAATTATGCCCTTTTTTCAGGACACCCTTCAATTGTTATTTTGCAAATTTAAAATTTTGTACAGAAATGCAGAAATAATAATACAAAAAGATACTAAGTACCTTTGCTCAACATGACAACAATTCCTTTCTATTTTCATGAAATGGAGCTATCACTATTACATGTAATATATTTGTGTTTTATTAAATACTGCTGTGCATACTTTTTGATAATAAATTGTTATAATGGAATGAAACTAGGTATATTCAAATCTCAGTTTTGTCACTAGGAGAAATTATTATAATAATATTATTATTTTTGTGATAATTTTGTAGTCAGACTTTATGGAGGTCTAGTCAACTAAGAATTCCGCAAGGGCATCAAAGTCATCTTCACTTCGCACAGTTTGCGAAACACTGACACATGAAAGAGATGCTTCTGAGCAGGCTCTCAATGTTGCATTTTCTGTCGTTGAGGATTGTTTTGCTTCCTGTTGCTCAGGAATTTTTTTGTGTACAACCCAGTAACAGTCCTGGTTAAACTCTTGTAGCCAGTCATTTGATCTTGTAGTTGCCTCAGTTGGTTCTGATGCATCTTTACAACATCGTAGCTTAGCTTTAGGACTGGTAAGATCTGTCGCTTCCTTTATAAGAGAACATTTTTCTGTACTTTGCTGCTGAGGGCACTGAGTTTCCTTTGGAGGATCTACAGTGCATTCATATGATTTTTCTTGCGATGCAGATACACACAGTGCCTTGTCACAAGCTCCTGTATGGCCTTGTAAATAGTTCTTTGNACCCAGTAACAGTCCTGGTTAAACTCTTGTAGCCAGTCATTTGATCTTGTAGTTGCCTCAGTTGGTTCTGATGCATCTTTACAACATCGTAGCTTAGCTTTAGGACTGGTAAGATCTGTCGCTTCCTTTATAAGAGAACATTTTTCTGTACTTTGCTGCTGAGGGCACTGAGTTTCCTTTGGAGGATCTACAGTGCATTCATATGATTTTTCTTGCGATGCAGATACACACAGTGCCTTGTCACAAGCTCCTGTATGGCCTTGTAAATAGTTCTTTGAAGAATTTTGGGCAATTCCTGGGAGCATTTCGTCGGATAAGTGATCTGAATCCCAGTACAATTCAGCAAGTAGTTCAAAAGATGAGTCCGGCTGTGATAATGCATCCGTAGTTTCATTTGCCTGTCGGCCAATCATAAAACAGTTATCACTGTTGTAAAATGTTATATCTCCAGCTAGATCATCAAAGTAGTCCTCGCCACTTTCTTCGTCTACTGCATTTTTCTTTATTGGAAGCTTTAAAGATACGAAAATAAACCGAAAAACTACTTAGTATACATTTAATGATAGCCTGCAAGGAAACGTTTTATTTATAATCCCCCCCCCACCCCCCCCAAAAAAAAACAAACAAAGAAAAAACAAAGATGACTGGAATCCGAACCCTCAAATTTTTTTTCAGCACCCTTTGAGAACTGAGATTCATTTTTTGTCGGCACCTTTAAAATTTTTGTCCGAAGGGTCTAAATTTTGTCAGCTTCTTGGAACAAAAAAAGATAGCCATTTCAAAAATTGGTGATTTGGCTACACAACCTAATATCTGAAACACTATAAAACAGGCTATTGTTACGATACTAGTAATGTTAAGAACAACTTGGAAACTAAATAGTGAAATAATGTGTGTCGTGATGAAGTGAAGAAGTCAAAAAATAATCCTTTTCCCTCGGAGTACTCCCTATTTTTTGCTCCATTTTTCGGTACGACCTAAGAAACACAAAATATAACATTGAAAAAGAAGTGAAATAAAGTGTTTTTATGTAAGAACAATACACGATCTAAACAAGCTTTTAAAAAGCGCTCCAACCTGACTTTCGCTTTCTGCTGCCGGTTTGATATTCAATCTGCAACTCGCGATCTTCCACAACTTTTTGGTCAATACATCGTCAAAACCTTTCTCATCTTTGATCTGCAGAAATGTGGAAATCTTTGTTGACGTTTTGAGAGGAATTAAGCTTAGTTGCTTTTAAAGAAAGAAGTAAGCTTAAAGACCCTTATAGTGTAAACACGAACCTTGAGAAGGTTAAGGCATTTTGTTCTAAAATCCTTGTTTTCGCTTTGACTCACGACTGTTTTAATGGCGTCTGCAATATTTGGGATTGCCTTTTCGACCAGCTGTTGTTTCTGTTATTGCAAACAAAACGTGTAGATTATAAGCTAAAAATGCACAGGACTTTAACATAATCATGAGGCCAAACTTTTTCTTTCTCACCTATTATTCGATACTTACGTTCTTACTGGCCCTCTTATTTTGCTTTTCGGTGTTCTGTACTTGTTTTTGTCGTCGAAAAGATAGACCATCGCACATTTTGTCTTCTTTCAGATCAACAAAACTTCTAACCGGCAGTTAGTTGCATACACCTCAGAGCTGGTGAAAATGGCGGGAAATCTCGCCACGTTGGCCGCCCGCAGCATTGGATTATTTTGGCGGGAAAATGGGTCGTGCTTTAGCCGGTGAAGAAAGCAAGTGAGCCTCTGTACACTCTGTATGGCTATTTCCGACGAAATCGTAGTCGTGAGTCGAGATCTTAGATGATGGTCTTAGATCAGGGGCACCCAACGACTGTTTTCTTTAAAATATCTGTTCGGAGAAGCAAACACTGCCTAGAATTTTCTTTTACTTGAGGACGGCTAAAAATGTCTAGGTGAATGCCGTGATTTTCGAAGCTTGTATCTAATAAATTCCCTACGATTTTCTGAAGTTTAATTTTTCATATTTTACTACACAGGTTACAATAATTTTCTTAGAAAAAGGAAAAGTAAAATTTTCGGATTCCAAAATGTGATGGAGAGAGGAATCAGAAAAATTCTCACTTACGTAATATTAAATTGCACCTAAAATTTTCGGGAAAATAATACTGAAGCCCTTGTAATTTCGAAAAGACTTAAGTTCCCCTAGCTATAGTATGACCAAACAGGTAAAAATTTTGTAGCGCCGCTTCGAATGCATTTCTGGAGATCTACATGTAAAAGTACTCCAGATAACCTAAAAAGTGTTTTCAACGTATTTTGAGGAAAACCGTCGTTGCTGAGTGTAGCCTGAATTTCATCCCATTACTTCGAGTCGTTATTACTCCCTCAGTAACGATTCAGACGTTGTTGAGAGGAGAAAACGACTCGAAGCAATCGGATGAATTTCAGGCTACGTTGAGTGCCCCTGTTAGATTTTTAACGCGACGATCTCAGTGTACAATGACGGGAACGAAAACCTGCCAAAAAGTGTGCGCACCTTACCCAGTTTTTTTTTTTTTGCTTCTTTTCTAGTTTCCGTCGTCGTTATGGTTGCACTGAGCTCACTAGTGGCGTTCCCATGCAATACGACGATTTCGCCTGAAAAACCGACGACTTGATTGAAAACGTGCGACGAAATCGGCGTACGCAGGTACGCCAGAGAAAGAAAACGTCCGTACAGTAAAAATAACCCGCAAATGTTGAAGAACCTGTTTATAGGCTAAAAGAGAGCTTTGGAAAAGGCAAATTCGTTTTTACTGTAATCGAGCAAAACATCCGTGTCAGAGTCCGCGTTATAACAAAAATATCTGCTGCTTTCTTTACCCTTTCCTAGACCATGCGCAGTACCTCTAGCTTTTGAGTCTATGTGAACAAAATCATAAGACGGTGTTACTATTCAAATGGAACCTCTGGCAGAACGTACAACAGTCGAAACTCCCCCAAGCGACTAGGTTTTGATAGCTTGTGCTCACAAAAGTAGCCGCTGAATATGCTGCTAGCAGTGCTCGTATATTTCTAAAATTATGCCAATACTGATTATGCTGGTTTTTGAAAATTATGTCACCAGTTTTAACAAAAAATGTAGAAGTTATGCTTCTACTTTTTACTTTAAATTTCGCAAGAAACACTTCAGAACTAACTATGTAACAAGCAAGTAAATGGCAAACGCCTTTACCCTCTTTACAACCACAGCCTTTTCACTAGTGCATAATTCATTATGATTTCCTCGGCTATTACTGTCTTCCAGAGTATTTGCAGCGATAGATGAAGGTAGAAAGGTAAACCGCTGGAACAGCAAAAAACGCGGACGCCATCTGGAAAGAGTCCTGGGTCACTTCATTTCGGGGCCCAGGACTCATGAATGTGACAATAAGCAGGCAAGATGAGTCGTTACTTAAATTTGCCCGTAACTTTAATCTCTGGCCAAAGAATTGGTTTTACGATCAAAAATTGACATTTTTACGTTGCAAAACTAGCCAAAAGTGCAAATTGTAATGTCAGCAGTTCTTTTTTTCGGAAAATAGTAGAAAGGTATCCTCGTAATGACGAATTATGCCTAAAATTATGTTAGCACAATCTATCAAACCTATAAGCGACCTCCAAAGTGTTTCGTAGAGTAGTAAAGGATTACAGCCGCACGAAAGCTGAAAGGAGGTCATCAAAAAAACGCACATGGAGGACTGTTAGAAAAGAAGCCAAACAGATATAGAATTTCTCTACCTTTTTTCTCTCGCTCCCTCTTCCAACTTTTTCTCGTGTGACCTCATAATTATATTTACGAGACATGAACGAAAACACACCAATCAAGCACAGACTGACAGCAGACAAGACTGAGAATGACTGACAGTTAGGGTTTTTGCTCACATCAAATAAATCTTGTCGCCCAAGTTTGTCTCGAAATCACAACAGTGCGTCACGTTCAATTTCTGGTTTCACTGGAGGTTTTCTGCATGGTTCTTATTATAGTGCACGTACAAGAAACCACAACATAACAGATTCATTCTGGAAAGCAAGAAAAACAAAACGAAAACAAAAACGAAATGTCGTTTTATCTATTCGAAGAGGGTAAACGCCTTGTTAACCAAAAGGTTTCACAGCAATAATACTCTGGAAAGTAGAATTTTGTGAGTAGACCCAATCCGTGTTCAAATGGT